GTAGTAGTAGTAGTGCTGCTGCTGCTACTACTACTACTACTACTACTACTACTCCTGATACAACCAGCACCAGCACCAGCACCAGCAGCACCAGTACCACCACCACGAACTCTTCTTCCGCCGATCCACAACCCCTATCTGCGCACTAGCACTGCAGACGAAACAACAACAGCCCCAAGGCCTGTGCAAGGCAGAGAAGCAGCAGGAGGCAAAAAGCTTGAACGATCAGGGATGAAACTTTCCAAAACCCTTTGCCTGGCCAGGCTTCTCGCCCCGACCGGAGCCCCCTGCACGGGCCAGGGCCGCCCCCAGGGCAAGAAGCCTGCCAAGCGAATTGCATGGGACGGTCTTCCTCTACAGAGTTCCTCTAAAGAAAGCCTCTGGGCACCAGAAGCGAATCATGAGTGTCTTGGGGCACAGCAAAAACAACGAGAAAGGGCAAGTGCTTGCGTTGGTGAGCGTGCATGAGGTGACCCGAGCTCCACTGCTTGCAGTCAGAGGAGCCCAGCCCCGAGGCAGTTGAAGGTGGCAAGGGCTGCCCAGTGATGCCTTATCGAACAAGAACGAGACTAAACCCGTTGCCAAGCTCTTTTTTCTGCAACTCCCTCGGCCTGCAGTTGCATGGAGTGAGCTTCTTGCTCGGCCCTGTGGGCTAAGCATCGGGATGATTACAGGGCACATCCGGATTCGAAGCTGCGAGGAACGGAGGCTTAACATCGAAAGTCGCTCGCAAATTCAATGGCTTGTGACTAGCAAGCCTGCACGCAGCTTCCGGACTTCATGGGGCCATCCATAAAGATGCGGCCGGAGTATCGATAGAACGACCTAAACCACTGGCATTCTGGAGCTGGCCGAAATTGAGGTCGAAGGGGAAGTGCATTCCAAACACCATTGCACTCAACACAACATTCGTTGCTCGGTATTGCCTTCCTTCCCGGATCTGCAGAAGCAAGTCTAACAGGAGACGGGCCGTTAATTCATCGAAGCAGAGACACCACACGAGAATGCCCGTGCCACCCAACCTTGGATGCATGGGCTCATCAAGTTGAGGCTCGAAAGCTTCCAGCCACTGTACTTCTGAACTCTCTTGATCCACACCAGCCGCCCACATCCCTTCTTGCCCTATCAGCTGCCAAGATGAATGTCAAGTGATCTACGAGTACCGTGCAGCGCAGACCTTCAGCAGATGCCGTAACACTGTCAAGGCTCCTGCACGAAGCCACCGTCGCAGTACAAATCTATGCTGATGCCATTTGATTTCACATAAGTCAAACCAGGACTCGTCAGCTTACAGCCCGTTCCCGACTTGCAAAAGCGAAACTGGTTTTGAGGAGCGACTGCAGCGAAGAATAAGACCGCAACCCTGACAGTGACGAGCAGAGACTTTCTGGTAAAGACGACCTCCGAAGAAGCTGCGTTGGGCACCTCGAAGAAAGAATGAACGGCTTTGCTGCCAAGCGGCGCCAAGGTCGCACCCAGGCCCTGCTTCACCTGCCGGACTTTGCATGATGGCACATGTTCATCCGGTATTGCCTTTGTGGCCTTCTGCCTGCTGTACCTGCAGGACATAAGAGCCCGGAACAAAACATACATGAAGAGGAGAAAGCCACGAGGGTCCAAGATGCGCGCAAGCAACGTCTAAGTGTGGTCGAGGGCGGGTACAAATGCATATCTTACCCTTGCCCGAGGCTCACGCAAATTTCCGAAAGCAAGGCCGTCGAAGAAGCTGCGCATGCAAATCCGGCTCTAGGAAGGTCACAACGCAAGACCCCCAGAGCGAAGACAAGGAAAGTCAAGCCCAAGCCCAGCCAACGCAGTTCCACAGCAACGTCGAAAGTATCACCCATGCCTTGTTGCTGCCCTCGTTGATGCGCCGACCTGCCTGGCACATTGAATTTCCCGACGGGGTTCTGAAAATCGGCTAGCCGGCTAGCCTACGACAGCAGCAAACCGTGCCCGGACCAACAGCAAGGAGCAGCTCCTGCAACCATCGAGGAGTGTGGTTGTTTAGCCGATGCCATTGACAAGAGTCTGTACAGTACCATACGGCCCCTTTTCACCAGCGCTATTCAGCTACTTAAGGTTTAAGGACTCTCTGGGTGACCTGCTTGGATCTGGAAACCCAGGCAGTGAGACTCAAATGGAACTTTATAACGAGTGTAAGCCTCCAGCGCACTTTCAGCCGACCAGTAGTCCAAGTCAAGTAAGCTGAATTCACAACCGAGACTTTCTCAACCCTACGTTCGCAAGAGATTCACACTTCGCCCTGAAATCCCGGCCTGATAGAGCTCCCTCTGGCTGAAGGTTCGATCCTTGGGTGGAGGATCCGACCTCAGCAGCAGCCAGTATCATGCCTGCCTCTTATAGCATGATGGCCCGTTATGGATTTCATGGGCCTCTTCTTGTAAAGAGTTTCTGCATTACGGATCAACTTCGTTTCTGCAGCATACATCAGGTTTGCCAGGCATCGAGAATGCCGCTAAGCGCTCTGCTTTCACACCAGAGATCTCGCAGTGGGGCTACCCATATCGACAACCGGCAATTCGGTGAAATCATTTGCAAAGCAGAAGTTGCGAGCCCAGCAAAAGCTTTTCCGTCTGGTGCGGGGTTGCACGATGCACCTACATCACACATGCACATATACCTTTTTGCAAACACACCAGCACGCACGGGCACGCAGCACACTATATATATATATATGTAAATGTATATATATATATGTATATATATGTGTGTATGTGTATATATAAATGTATATGTATTATGATGAGGCTGTACATGTCCATGTGCGTAAATGTATACCTATGTATGTATGTGTATATCTATATATATATATATCGATATATATATATATATGTATATACTATATACACATGTTTATGTATGTATGCATGCATTTATACATGCGAGTATGTATGTACAAGACATGCGCACACACACACACACAGCACACACACACAGAGAGACACAGGGCTGCTGCTCCAGCCCCTCGACCTGACCCCGTTGTATCCCCGACTTGCCTCTCAAGCGGGTGGTCGTCTTGTTTGGCCTTGTCCCCTCCCCCGCCCCACAGGGTGGCCTGTGGTCATATTTGTTGGCCCTGCCCCACCTGTGGCGCGGTGTCTGCGGTCGCGCTTGGGTTGTTGCTCTCTCGGTCTCCCCCACATGCTGCGCATTGCTGCTGAGCAGTGAGCAGACTAGGGTTATAGGGGGGCAGTAGCAGCCGTCTGTTAGTAGAAATGCGTATCATCGTCAGTGCTCCTTTTCTCCTTGCAAATTGCATCTTCCGAAAACTATCACCAGGAACGCTCGGAGCCGGGGAGGGGTCAGGGGTGTAGGGACCCGGGACCTGAGAGCATACATAAATATATATATATATACACACACTCACATATAGACTAATACATACATGTATGCATAGATATACATATGTAAACATGTACAGATATACATGTATATGTATATATATATACACATGTGTGTACGTGTGTAAGTGTGTATACCTCTGCTTACATGTGTGTATGTATATATATATATAAAATATTTTTTATTTATTTATTTACTTATTTATTTTGTTTTTTATATTTGTATGTATGTACGCACACACGCACAAAAGTCCAGCCCTTCCCTTTGGGCCCGAGCTTTGGGTCCTCGCCTTTAGGCTCCTCCGCCTGGTCGGTTTGCGTCTCCTCAACTTCCGACTGTGACGGTGCGGCGCTTCGCGGCACGACTGTGTGGTGTAGGGTGTAGGGCCGGGCACCTCGAAATCGAACACATGAGTGGGTTAGTGTGTTCTCGTTCTCTCTGGTGCACGACTCCCCGCAATTTCAAACGCCTCCTCCGGCTTTGGAGCTTCAGAGCTGCTTGCCATGCCTGGCTGAGCGCCGAAGTATGAAAGCTCGTGGTTCTGATGAATTGAACCCGTCTATCGTCGGCAAGAAACACAAGACCGTGCAATCAAGCAAGTACGCAGTACTGCAAAAGGGGCACGCACTCGCATGCCTCTGCTCCGCTGCCAGAGGTGCAAACAGCCGGTCCTCCAATTCGTCGTGACCGTGCTGGACGGTGCTTGCTTTGGGGGATAGAACATCTGCGGTATCCTGTCTTGCATGCCGACATGCGTGCACGTGTGTATGTTGATGAATGAAACAGATGCACATGTCTACATAAATCTAAACACATAGATATATACGCGTGTGTATGTATAGGCACATACATAGCAAAAAAACGTATCATGACATAACATAGCATGGCGTAACATAACATTGTGAAACATGGCATGGCACAACACAAATCAACACAACACATAGCTTGACATCATATGGCATAACACATAAGCCCAACATAGCATAACATGACGCAGAGTTACATTACATTACTTACATGGCAGTATTACGCGGCAGCAGCAGCAGCAGCAGCAGCAGCAGCAGCAGCAGCAGCAGCACTCATCGTCGTGGTCAGGGCAACAGTGCCATTATGCTACGCTGCTACGACTGCTACGAGCAGATAAACCCTCGACCCGACAGGACTACGACTTCTCTTAGCCCACCTACCAACAGGACTTAGCCCTAAACCCTAAACCGTGTAAAGCGGGTGTCCACGGAGGACCCGAAGGCTTCAGTTCGGGTCAAGCCGAGCCTCTGCGCTGGCCCCGCCGAACGCAGTGCCAGGCAGGGGGGCCTGCAGCGCAGAGCAAAGGGACGCTTGCTGTGGGCACCTTCCTAGACCCCAAAAGTATGTAAAATAATAGCCTTTTATGGGTCTTGGGCCATTATTTTACTTACTTTTGGGGGTTTAGGTTGGTCTTGTTGCTGACGTTTTCCGCCGGCGCGACATGGGCGCCTGAGAACAATCCTGAATCATCATACTTCGGTTGGACGCTTGAACGTGTGGACTGTGGAAGCTTTAGCATCCCCTGCCTTGGCTAATGAACCCTTCCGGGCCTGAAGCTTGGGAGCCCGCGTCGACGAAGCGCAGCCGCAATCCGCATGCGAGTGCATACACTGAGCCCTACTGGATCTCAGCTCGGCCTGGTAACTATCAAGAAGCTGGCACTGCAGCACCTCAGTCCGAAAAATATAACGTGATCCTACATGCATGATGCTTCTGGTTGGAAGCCCGGAACATACGAAGCACGGAGGCTCGACGGGCTTTGCCTCCAACCGTGGCTTGAGCCATCCGCAGCAAACCAAGTCGGAGGGCTAGGCTATACCCGAAAGCCCTGTGTCGGACAACCACACAAGTTGAAAAGAAGATACTCTAAGTTGCAAGTCACATGCCGCATCAATCGCTGTTCGATAACCTCCCACTTCTAGAAACTCGAACTCCCGGACAAGCCGCCGAACTGGCTCCACAACAGGCATCACGTGCAACACGGCTACTGCTTGCGCATCTGATCAATCCCTCAGCGTTTCGAGATCTAGCTCTACACGAGAAAATTGCAGTGACTGATCTTACGCTGGTACGTGTTCCCTGGCCTCGCTACTTGTAAAGCAGGTGCCTTAACGACCAAATGCTGGTTAGCACAACCTCCGATCGTAACTTTTCGAGCAGTTGAACTCAGGGAGTCCACCTAAACCGATCCAGAAAAATGCTGTACGACCGCCACACCTGGGCGCACGGTGCTTGCAGACAGGGGTTAAAATGCTGAAAAACCCTACAAGCACCGTTCTATCTCGCCCCTCCCTACTTACTCCTGCCAAGCCCCGCAAAAACACACGGTCGAGGCATTGGGGGCAGAGCCCCGCAGCTAAAGAACTTTGCAAGTCTTACGAGCCATATTGGCATTGTTTTGGAAGAGGCCCCATAGTGCACCAGTCGTCATGATCATACTGGGCATGGAGACAAGATGATTATGAATCATGATCCTGGCGGTCATGACAGTAGCATAAAAACATCACCACAGTCGTTTTAACTTCAGGGTCTACATCGAGGCCGCCATCTCCTCAGCACAGTCACCATCGGCATCACCATGCTCACATCACATTGCCACGGTCACTGTCACAACCACCATTGCTCGTAACTCATTGCCATTCTTGTCTCCAACACAGAAGACTGTCGCTGCACAGTGGTACAGCAGGGTGGACTTTCATTTCAATCTAGGCAAAAGCTCCAGCACATTCTGAAGTGAACCAGGCCACTGGGTCGGATTGCAGGAGCTCTGCACATCCGATGACCACCTGCGAGTCTCAAGCGGGCCTGTTATCGACCTATAAATGTAGGGTAGTGAAAGGGGAGTACTGCAGCTCTTGAACATGTGCTTGCCTACTAGGTTCTGGACTCTCTATGATGACATGTGGATGTATTAGGGCATGCCTTCTGCATTCAGCTGTTCTCAACCCGGGAACATGCTTTCCAGGGTGTATGTAAGCTTAAGTCCGGCATGGGGGCCTTTCTGTTGGCCATTTACAGCATCGGTATCTAGCCGATGTAAAGAATCCAACTACATTCGACATGCCACACGGCATCTAACTTCAATCCGAGAGCCCGCTGGAATCGGACCATTACGATCACTCATTGGACAAATTCCGACAGCAGGGCACGACTACGAAGATCTCCTGCCTCAATCATGCACTCTGATCTGTTTGGAAGGCGATTGTCCAAGAATCCCAAAGTCAACCGCAAGCCCCTAAGGACATAAAACCTGAATCAGATGCCCCAATGTGCCCTAATCCGAACCCCTTGAAGCGGTACCACTGAATGCACCGGGCTGCCAAAAGGGACTTGGCTGTGATAGCCACATTGAGCCGCCGCCGATCCGACAGGAAGCCAAGACCTTTTCAAGCACGGCCCATTTCTATTCACGGATTGTCATTAACTTCACTCTTATTGTTGTCATTGTGGTGATTTATTGTGAATTGTGAGCCTGCCCGTAATTATGACATTGCAACATAGACTAATGTAGGAAACAGCAGTGGGAAACAGCAGTCAGAGCCTCAAAGGGTGTGTAGGGTTGAGGGTTTCAGGCTCAGGGTTCGGAGTGTAAGCCGCCTACAAGTACCAGCGCCTGTTCTGCCGACCATGTAAAGACTGTTAGACGTAATGTATAACTAACCTGGCAGATGTGGTCATACTAGCTTGCGAGTTTGAAGGCCGCTGGGTTTAACGTGCAAGAACAATACGCAGTTACACAGGAAGAGCATGGTCGAAACCAGCAGGACCAAGACTTTGTGTTCGGTTCTAAACTCTGAAGTCTAAATGAGCTGTACGAAACGGACTTCGAAGAACCTGAATTCTGCATTCCAATCTGGCACACTATCGGCCCAATCTTTGAACTTTAAAAAGCTGTTCGTTGTTGTTGCTGATTGCCTCCTGCGTGGCTAGGACGAGATCCGCTTGGGGCGTTACTCAAGTCTAAATTTGTCAAGTCTGCCACCGGCAAAAAAACCAACTTTCCACGCCTTGTGTTCTAACACACGACAGGATGATCACCTGCGCGCGGCAGATTAGTGAAGCGTCGGGCGTAATGCCGGCGGTGGCAGGGATGGGGGTCGTAGTTGTGGTTGTGTGGTCTGAAATGCTTGTCGTGGTTGTGGTAGCAGACACTGGGCAGTGTTTGCGGTCTATCGATTCACATTATAATATTGGGAGGTGGCGGTGGTGGTGGTGGTGGTGGTGGTGGTGGTGGTGGTGGGGGTGGGGGTGGCGGTGGCGGGGGCGGCGGTGGCGGCGGCGGTGTGGCGGCGCTGTTACTGAAACTACGAGACTTTCTTCGAACTTTTGTAACCTGTACAGGCAGTGCTTCCACCCCCTTCCACCACCATCTTGTTCACTGGCGACACTACGCGAATGACGAGGACTACCACACCCAAGTCTTGTGGTTTTCACGGCAGCAGCGAACCGCAAAATCAACACAAGCCGCACCCGAAAAGTGACGACAACCGCAAAGACAAGATACAAGCAAGTCGCAAAAAGAAGTGCTACTGCAACTCAACACGACAAGCAGTATGAATAACGCTCCGAAATTTGCGACGGATCCTCTAGCTCAATTATCTGAACGCTGTCAACTCGGACAAGCAAGCATCGACAACATCCACAATTATCCAAGATCACAGTTATGCCATTCCACGAGCACCGCCACCCAAAGAAATGGAAATCAAATTTTACAACTGCTTAACGATCGAATCAACCAACCCCTGAAAACACGACACCTGCACCAAAATACTACAGCAAAGCAGAAACAAGATCAAGTAAGGCAGCTTCCCGACTGCTTCTGTGGACGTTTTGCAAACATGTCTACTACGCATAGCAAACTGGAAACAAGAAGCTCACAATGCGATTGATTCCTCCAAGCGGCCTCTTTTTTACGTCCTTGATAGCCATCCACAGTCTTAACCTCCGGACAGCGCGTTGCATCTGTCCTTGCGTCTGGCTCCTGCAGGTACAAAGCCAAGGGGATCCTGAATCTCACTGATACTGCTTCGCTTTCGCCTGGAAGGACATCTTCTCCGCCTCCATGGCTGACTTGATTTGTGCCACCTGATTCGTTGCACCCAATCAGCATGCTCCACATTAACCACTGTAACCTGGCTCGCACTGACTCTTCCGCAACCTGGGCAAGCAAACGAGTGGCCATGCAGCTGGTACTGGCATGACTAGGCAACCCGACCTGAGCGGCGTAGGGTGAAATCACGCCGATGTCCTCCTCGACCGCCTTGCGGGACCACAAGAGACACTCCGCTATCTAGCTCCTTCAGATTTATTTAGTGAGTTGCCTGCCGCGATAAGCAGGTGCAAGTATATTTTCAACACAAGCACAAGCTCCCATATGGACATCTGCTTGATCCATAAGGTAAAGTGAATGCCCGTCTCTTTGTCGGGCGATCTACGAAAGGCTTCTTCTTGAAGCATATCTCTCACACATTTGCAAGTTGCCGACGAAACAGATGCACATCTGGTTTCGTCTCACGCAGGCCGTGCAAAAAGTTGTCGAACGAATGAGCGAGACATTGCGGTCTTCAGGTGCCGTCAAGCTCCCCGCAACACGCTGAATTTCGCAATGCAGTTCGCCAGGCACTGCCATTCCTGAACGAGTCCGACGTGTCAGAGTTCTTCGACAACACCGGACCCTGCCCTTGTCCAAAGCAGGATCATCCTGAAAGCAGCCTCTTCCGAGGAGCCCGTTTCTCACCGACCACGTTGCGTGAAAATGTCCACCTGTCAGGCCGTAACAGGCAGAAGATTCCACCTCAAAAACCTGAAAGTCGAACTCGAAGCGAAAGCCCTGCTCCTGGGGAGGGTCTGAAAACGAGGAACAACATCCACCTCGAAAAGGGCGCAAAATACATGTTGATTTGGGGATCTATGGTGCAGGTAGCGTGGATGTGGATCTGCAGCCTCTCGATTAACACCACACATCAAAACTCAAGGACCTACCCTAAAGAGAGGACACGGAAGATTCCCTCAGCCGGCGATCCCAATGCACGTCCCGTTCTCCATGGTGGCACGTCTTCGGTTTTCTTGCTGAGGGGTTATGACTGCTGGAATCTGCTTCAAGCCCACACTCATTGGAAGCCAAGAAATGGCTATTAAGATTGCAGGGTTCAGAATTCCTCACATTAGAGGCTACTGAACCCCAGGTACTAAAGCCAACTGGGTCTTCCCATACCGAGGCCACGGTTCAAGCCGCTGGCACAACATCCAGGGGCCTTCTCCATGGGAGCACCAGTCACCTCCCAGACTGGACGGTTCTCATGGGATATGGGTAGTTCTCTAAATTAGGGTCCCTTTTTAGGTCCCCAACATAGTACGGCACCCTTATAAAACGGACCTCCAAAAGGCACACAAATTTAGAGAACTACCCATCTATTTGCTGAAGGCCCAGGGCTTCTTAGCCGTGCATCCGCATTGGCTGAGGGCAAACTCGGCAAACGAAATCGGCGGCAGGAAGGACAAAGTCAAAAAAAAACAATGACCATGATAGGAGCACCAGACAGGCCTCGACATCGGGTTTCGATTCTCAGCCAAAGAGAGGGGATGTTTGTGCTTGGGTTTCGGGGACATAGGTGTACCTGGAATCCATGTCCAGGCTAGGCGTGCATCAAGTATTCTGCAGAAAGACCTTGCAATTTCCAGCCTGGAAAATTGCGAGCTGCGGGACATCATTCCATAATTAATACACATCGCCAGGCAGGAACGACAGTGCAAAAAGCACGCAAGGCCGGATGGTTCCCAAAACGAGTATCATGTGTACAATATGGAGTGAATACGCATGCCTGTGTGTTGCGATGCTGGCGAACCGTAACATACAGTTAGAAGAATTGGAGGTGGACAACGCATGCGGTGAAGCTAAGGATATCTAAACCATTGTCTCCATAATCTTGACAACTCGTCCACCTTTGCAGAGCTGCGCCTCTAGAATGCGCCAGTGTCTCGGCCAGGTGGTCTCCCCCGAAAGGCCCTGCCTCAATCCAGCGCAGGGCAGCATTTTTGCTTACTTATCTAACCTGTTGGCCAGGAAGACAGGTTTGCTGAGGCCGGCTGGGACTTTCTAAATCTTTCTTGTGTCAGGGGCGGTGCATTAGAGTTTCGGCTTATCAAGGTTCAGGGCTTGTCAGGGGCTTGCCGTCTGCCAACAACAATCGGGCGATCCAAACGAAGTCTGCGACGGCCTATGACGGCCTATTCAAGCAGGAATACATCTGCATGCTTGCTGCCTGTGTATGCTTTTGCTGTTATCTACTTTAGCAGCATCCATGCAGCTTCCGTTTGTCTGCTGTTCTCCGCTCAAGGGAAGCAGCCGGGAACAGACCGGAACATCACTCACAGCAACCACCTTGACAATTTTGCTGCGCATGGTCTTCCCCTGTCCAGGTGAAAACACAAGAAGTTTTCTGATCTCCACGAAGTTGTGCAGCCAAGTTGCTGAAAAACTCGCCCGAAGCCATGCCGATCCTTGTCGGCGAACTCAAAAAAGAAACTTGCTTACTGGTCCCACTCTTGGCAACAATCTGAAGCCCTTCTTGCAAAAAAAGTCGAAGCTACCGCTCATCACGTAAACACCTCAACCTACGTACGTCTTCTGCCATAAAAGGTTGTCACGCAAAGCCTCTGTCCATAGCAGCGCCTACGTATCTAGCAGAGCAGGGAACAACCCACTTCTTCGTGGACTCGTACTTGGGGCTTTGAAGGCTCGCAGCCTTTGTGAATATCCGACATATCACATCATCACTAAGATGTTCAAGAAGTACTGGAAGAATCCGAACGATCATACTCGAAGTAAAAAACTTGAACGCAGTGGCCGTCATGCATTTCAGACAGCGGCGGTCGTCATTGTAGGAACTATCGCTGCTGGCGTTCCTTCGCCTTGTTGTTTTGTTCTTTGCACGGACGTGATGATGTGCATGCCATATCAGCACTAGCAGCATCAATGCAGTGCACGTTCTCATGCTGCTGCCATGGTCTGCATATGTTGATCCAACGTTCCAACCTTGTCACTACCGAAAATCACTGAAGCAAATGGCATACCAAGGTCATTCGCGCAAAGACCGGGTCGCCTTTACGATCACCCGGAGTTGGTTTTGGTCGAGGGTCGTGTATCGCGTCGCAGCCGCAGCCAAGCGAACTGTCTATGCAGTTGCCCTGCGCACTACTGGTAGTAGCTCCGCTTAAACGGCCCAAAGACCAGAAATTTGTCAAACCCCGAACTCATGCGGCAAGTGGTCAGGGTCCACGACAGCCAGAGCCCGGAGCCAGCCCAGCACGGCACCTTGGCTTCGAGGGCCCCAATCCGCCAGCGCTTCTTCGATTCATCAGAGTACAGTGACTGCAACCTCTGACGATTGGCAGAAAGCCCATGAAGACAATGATGTTGATTGTTCTCAGTTTTCTCGACCTTGCTCTGTACCATGCTGATCAACTTTTGAGCTGCTGTGCCTCAAGGCGACAGCACTGAATTCCGGGCTGTTTCACTGCTCGCGCAAGAACAATCGCAGAGAATGGGCCTCTGAAAGCAGCAAGCCTTGTTCCACTCACTTCCTTGGCCCAGTGGCCCAGCATTGCACCGACCCGAAGTCCTCGCTTGACCTGTGAACGGACGCACGGGGTGTTGGCGTATGTTCACTGAGCGCAGCGATAGGGGCAGCAGCATGGTCCGGCAGATCTTACACGATCATGTGCGATTGTAGGTGCTCTCTCCTGCAAGGATGTAGCTGCACCTCGCCAACCGAGACGACCAGAAACTCTCCGGCACCCTTGCTCCGACTACAATAACCCGCCGTAGTTAGCCGTCGTCGCCGACATCTAAGTACATACATCAGGGCAACCAGTAGGCATGTGTATTCCCAAAGTTGCCAAGAACGTCAGAACTTCACCCTGCAAACCCATCAAGCCCCCTGAGCCAGAAGCCCATCGTGGATCGCGGATGCTGAGCAACAGAAGCTCCAGTGCTATCACCGTCACCACGTAGAGCAGCCTGTGTCGGACAGTTGCTGCTGCGCTTGATTAGAGTGTCCTTCAGGCCGGAAGAGGGCAGTTGGCCCCCGATGCCATACCGGACCGAACTCCTCAAGCTTTCGGAGTTGGTCCCCTGTTGATTCAGAGACGCCCGGCTCGTGGCCAAAATGACAAGCCGCAGCAAACAAGGCTACTACTGAGCAAGCCTGTCGTGGTGCAGCCCAGAAGCAGCACCCTCATCGAGTTGAACTCGTCCAGGTCTCAGGCAACAAGCCATTGAAACTTCGGAGAAACACGCTATCAACGACTAGCCTAGCACAAATATCCTTGGGAACATTGGCTACATGGTACACAAGTAGATACCTCGAAAGCTCAAACCCCTCACAAAAGGCCAGATCCCCGATGCCCACAACCCTTACAAGCGAATGAGGCAAGCACCTTCAATGTTGTTGCGGACGTGCCGCAGCCTCCGACCGACGCTACATTCTATCCATCGCACACGATCCGACTGGATGCCTACCATCAGAGCAAGCCTGCATTCCCGGGGAGTGAGGGTGCTTCATTCAAGAGCGAGGGAGGGGAGAGAGAGAGAGAGAGAGCGAGAGCGAGGGGTCCCTCAGGGACCACTCACGCATCCAGGTCCCGGTGGTTTTGGTGGTGTCACGATTGTCTGGGTCGTCGTGGTCGCTGTGGTGCTCGATCACTCTTTGGGGAACTATGCTGGCATGTTACGTAAGTTAAACATACGACAGTCCGACAGTCTACGCCTGCAACGGCTCTCCTGCATGGGGTTGGACACTCATCGGGTGAACTTGAGCAGGCCCAACAGTCCCTTATTTCTGCAGCTTCGTCTTGGGTACCCACTACACACGCAACCCGCGCGTGGATACGGAGTGCATGGCCTGATCCTTGGCAGCGCGCCAAGGCAGCCCACCCTCGAAAACAAAAACTGCCGTGGTATGTATAGAAACCAAGGAGGATTTAGGGGTATGTAGGGTTTCACCCTGTGGAGCAGTTCGCAGGTGCGTTTACGCTGGTTTTGCTGACTTCTGTGAAGACTGAACAGCCAGTCAGGAAGCCTGGTCCGGGATTTGGGCTTGCGTGTCATCCCGACTCGGAGTGTTTTTGTGCAGCACCTTGCCCTAGCTCGAAACCTACTATCGAGAGCTTCATGTCTACTGCACATGCCACATGCTGATCGCGTCTAGGATCTAGCGCACAAAACTGCTGTGGAATTATAACGTCTCGGGCAGATGCCGTCGAGGAGAGTTGCGTGAATTGAGGGGGCGCTGAGGAAACAGCGGTTTACGAGAAACTGAATTGGAGTTGAGCCCTCTGTGCATCTCAGCAGCAGCATACCGCAAAGCATTCCGACGGCGCCGAGGTGTAGCGCCTCAGATGCACAACTCTGGCCTAGACCCTTGTGCACGTCTGCAAACTTCCAGGCATCTTGGGGGTCTGGACCGAGCCGGAAACCGAGCCCATAACAACCTGTGACGTCTTCGGAGTCTGCCGGTGACCTGGTGACCTGCGGAGTCCTTACGTCCGCACTGCTGTGTTCTTTCGACAATGCTCTGGGATGGTATCGGAGGCGTTGTAGGCTCAAGACGCAGAAGGTCCGCAGTGCGACCTATATTATTCAATTTGCACTGCCCCTCCAGACAATGTTTCTGCCTTCCCTGAAGTATACAACCCAAAGCCCTACAAGACAGCACAGCAGCAAGCACGAATTCTGAAGAAATTGCAAAGCCAAGTCTGCATCGCGCGGAGGACCAGCTGAGTGCACAAGATCTGGGAGGTTCATGGTATTTCCTCCAATCAAATCAGCTTGGGCGCAGCGCCTGTGGCCTCGGCGCGTTGATAGCCGACGCCAGGGAGCGGACATGAGGCGACCCATAGGGCAACTTTAACATCCAGAAACGGTTTCAAAACGAGCGATCTGGTCGGGGTGTCAACTTTCAAACTTAAGCGCTGCATGGGGTAACAGTCACAGCTCAGGAGTTGCATCCCAGGTTAGCAGAAACGACCTCCAATTCCAGGACACGCTCAGGAAACCGAAACGCAGCTCTAATGCGGAGGCTACTTGCAAAGCCTGGGTCGCAGACCCCCGCGAATTTCAGAGCCAGCCGCCGCAAACGCCGCGAAAGGCGCAAGGCCAGGGAGTATCCTGCAGAATGAGATTGGTACATTCATGTTCGCAGCTCGGGGCTCTGTACACAAGCATTTACAAGCAGGTGCGCACACACACACAAACAAACAAGCAAGCAAACAAACNNAAACAAACAAACAAACAGACACACAATCGTGTGCTGTAGGTTGTATACTTGCTGATCCACAGTGCCTAAACTTTTTGTGTGGAGCGACGTGGCTTCTCCCTCACATCGGGGTTAAAAAAGGGGTTAGCAAGGGCTGAAGGGGAGGGAATGTGCACGTCGGGCTGGCACCGATGGACATCGGGTGGATACGTGGATACCATGTCCGAAGGGGCGGCGGGAGAGGGGGGGGGGGGGGGGGGGAGGGTGCTAGGAACGTGGAACGCGGACACATGTACGGGTATTCTACTGGCATTCAATACATGATTGAATGGGAGTACGGATCTTGCACATGCATACAATCAGACAGTGTCGAAATATAGATGCAAGATCAATTTGAAAAAAGACCTTGTTCATTTCGAGCTGACGCAAACATACTAGCCAAGGTGTATGTTTGGCTGTAGTTTCAATACGTGCATCTGGATAGTATGTATTCTATGTACTTGCTTAGTGCTTAGTGTTCGAAATAGGCATAGAGAGATAGACCGGAGAGTGGATGGATGGGTCAATGAATGGATGGATGCATGGATGGATGACAACGGATGGTTAGATACAGATGGACAGGCAGACAGATAATGGATGCATACGTTGGCAGATAGATAGAAAGCGAGATAGATAGAGAGATAGATAGACAGATCGATACATGCATAAATCGATAGATAGACAGATAGATAGATGGATAGATAGAACAGATTGAAGAATTGGCACCTAAATAGAAAGCTCGACAGAGAGATAGACAGACAGACAGACAGACAGACAGACAGATAGATCGAAAGACAAGTAGATAGATCGGAAATAGATGGAGAGACAGATGGATAGATAGATCGTTAAGTTAGACAGATACATAGATGGATAGATAGATAGATAGGTATAGATAGACAGATGGATTGATAGATAGATAGGTAGATAGTTAGAAAGATAGTTTGAAACATAGAGAGAATGATTGATACAAAGATGTAGGTAGATAGGTAATTAAGTAGAGAGATAAATAGGTGGATAGATAAGTAGACAGATCAACAGATAGATAGAGAGAAAAATTAAGGTAGATAGGTAAATAAGTAGATAGATGGATAGATAGATAATAGATAGGTAGGTAGGTAGATAGAGAGATAGGTAGATAGATAGATAGCTAGATAGAAAGATATAGGTAGATAGGTCCACACACGCTGGTATTAGGCCACGCGCTTTTCTGCAGGTTTTGCGGTTTCGGTGCTGCGATAGGACTTTGCTTTGCTTTCGGAAGAGGGGGGGGGCGGGGTGGGGGGAGGGGGATAAGAACGTCTTTCATATTTCGTCCATGCCCAAAACACTAGTATTTACAGCGATTTCGCCTCTTTGTAAAACATG